AGGGGGGGGGTGGACATATAGAGAGGGAGTGGGTGCCTCGCAAACTGAAATAAACAAAAGAGCCTGAAAGATGAGAAAATGATCGTGAGCTACTGTGGTGTTTCCTAAGTCCCTTCCGCCGGCAACTCCTACATGTACCTTCTATTTCTTATAACAGCAACCCCCCGGGCACAGCTAACCCCTCAGTCTATGGCAGGCACTTAGGTCAAGACGTTCCACTGTTTTGGCGGTAAACAAAGGTTGAGGAGAAAGAAATCTGTCTGATTCGGCTTTAGTCACACTAGTCTATCAAAGGACTAGCACTTCGAATGTAAAGATTCCAAGCCATTTCAATGAGGGTATTGGCATGATGGATATGTTTGTAGCTAAGTAAGTTCTTGTAGAGGCCGCATTTCAAATTTCTGGTTGCTACAAACTCGAAGAGAGAGGCACGTGACTTTGAATACAAATAAAAGAGAAAATACATATGTATAAGTGATTGCTCTAAAATAGCAACTCGTGTGTCAGCCTTCACACCCAGATATACACATGTAGAGAAGAACAAAAGGCCGGAGTTCATTGACGTACCTCTGATGAAACGAGATAAATTAAAACAATCAACCGTTTGAAGAAAACCGACAGGAAACAAATATTTTTAAAATTCTCGATAACGTAGAGAAAAACAAGACATACGTTACGGTTTTCATCGCTTTGAGTTGGTATGTCCAAAATACGCATTAATAAACTAAGACTGCAACTCATCTTGAAAAAGAATAACTTAATAAACGTCTCTATTTTTAATATTATTATATTGTTATAGCAATTTTCACCAGCCTGGTATAATAAAATCTACTGGAAGAATTGAAAGCTCGTATAGAAAATTCAGTGAAGCCACTATAAAACTGAGAGACCAGCATGCATGTGCCTTAGAGAAAGAATTTATCAGTTCTTAACGTTTACCGCAAACTCAAGGAGACTTCTTAACAAACTTTTCGATCCTAATCAGTGGCAGGTTTGGAGGAAAAGGAGGGGGGGGCGCAAAGCTGTTGACGCTACGTAAGCAAACTGGATATTTCTGGTCTCAGGACAAACAAATTGAATAACAAACCCACAGATCCCAGACAGGTAGATCCTCTATCTGGGAGATCAGATTTCAGCAAAACAGGGGAGCATCAGGCCACATGAAAGGCGTCCGATGAGTCTGTTTTGTAAATATTTAACAACATGTTTGCAACAGTTTATTCCTTTGGGACAAGATAGTGCACCTAACCACTGTCGGAGATAAATTTATAACATGTCTGTAAGAACAACGTTCTCATGGGCATACCATCAACATTACGTAAAGGGAAGTACATTTTTTCCAACCCTGATCAAGCAAAGGCCATTAATGAATTTTAAAATACCTCTTAAAGACTATTTGACGCCAATTACCAAACACATCGTTCTTCTTGTCTTCAAAGAAGAAAAGTTTAAAAAGAGATTCCATAGATGTCAGCCATCTGGCTGCCTGCAGTCTGCACCACATTAGGCCCTGCCACCTGCCTCTCTCGCCAACAGGACTAAAGTTCAGCCTAGTGGGACTGACAACATGTGCTCAAACTGTGGTGGGTGTGGTGGATTGAAGGACAAAGATCTGAGAAGCACTATGACAAGACTAAAGAGACGGCCACACAGAGTAGAGGGGAAAACCATGGTGTTTGGACCCCGACCACCACCAAAAGCAGATGATGAGTCAGTCTGTCTGGGAGGCTGAGAAAATAAAGTTCAGAAAAACAACAAAGCACACGTGTGTCTGTGAGTGGGCGAAGAGTAGGTGTACGTTTGTGGGCTTTTGAGCATGTAGGTGTATGTATGTGCGTGTGCACGCACGAGTGAATGAGTGAGTGAGTGAGTGAGTGAGTGAGTGAGTGAGTGAGTGAGTGAGTGAGTGA